AAATTGAGATATGGGAAGATCTAAAACAGACTTGGCAGTCAAATCTGCTTGATCATTCCCTTTTATTCCCATGTGACTGGGACGTCAGCAAAGGACAATGCCCTTACTGAAAGATAGTAGCAGGCGATACTAATGGGTGATCAAGTTTTTTTTATTATTTATTCCTTGAAGAGAGGGCAAAGAATCGGTAAATTAGGCGAGAATTGTTTTAACTCCAGGGCCTGCAGTATAGCCTGGAGCTCAGCTGTAAAAATAGAAGCTTCAGGTGGAAGACGCACAAATATGATCTCAGATGGCATCACGGAAGCTGCGGCTACCCAATAGCCCCATGTGACTGGGACGCCAGCCAAGGACAATGTCCTTGCTGATACTCTCGAAAGATAGTAGCAGGTGATTACTGTCTGGTACTAATGGGTGATCAAGTTTTTTTTTATCATTTATTGCTTGAAGAGAGGACAAAGAATCGGTAAATTAGGGCCTGCAGTATAGCTCAACTGTAAAAATAGAAGCTGCAGGTGGAAGACGCACAAATATGGTCTCAGATGGCATCAAGGTAGCCACGGCTACCCAATCGCCATCTTTCGAACCATAATCACCATATTTAGACCTTAAGGCATTTTTTCGAACAGTGTCTAAAATAATCTGTGATTAGGTCTAATCAGTAACTAACTAGTTAGGGATTAGAGGTTGACTAAGTTTGGTATTCTCAAAATTCAGATTAGCTAATCTTTTTGTAATCAAAGATTAAAATTCATGTTTAAACTTTGAATATAATTAAACATTTCATGAATGATTGAATATAATCAATGATTTAAAAGGCTTTTATCATTGATAAAGGGACCCAATTACAGGAATTAGATTAGAAAACCACATGTTGTAGAACAGTGTTTCCCATCCTAGGGCCCGTGAACTTATTTTTGCGGCTCGCAAAGTCAAACGTTTTCGTATGGGTGGGCAGGAAAGAAATAAAATGTGTGAAAAAGAAAATCAAGAAAAATAGAGTTCGGATATTTTTAGTATTCGAAATGAAATAAAATGGGAGTATAACGTCCTACTGTTCTGCTCCAACTGTGCTATGAGGGCAATTTTGCGTGCGCGCCAATGTGTACACGATACATCGGTTTGTTATCCGATCCAAACGACTCTACGTTGTCCCTTACTAGGCCCTCCATCCTGCACCACTGTGGCTCCCTTTTAGTAATCGAAAAGTGAATTTCTATTGCTTATATCAAAGTTACATTTGTTCTGATTAATTTTATGCCCCTTCTAAAATTCGAAATTATCACTATTTGTCTATTTTGCATAAACTTGCTATATCTGTATTCTTTATTTATATTACACGTTTCCAAATTGTAGTGGGATTTTGGTTTTCTTCCGATATGGGCGATTTTGGAAAAATAAACAATGTAATTATTATTTATAACAAAGTTTTGCGAGTTGCTTAACCTACATGTATTGAGACACAAGAAATATGCAATTTTTTATACAACTCTTGAACTGGGGCCTGTTTCACGAAATTTTAACTAAGATGAAATCCAAATTTTAGTAATTTGATTGGATAATCTTAGATGGATTTTAGTGCTTAACCAATCAAAATTGAAGTATCTACTAAAATTTGGATTTTATCTTTAGTTAAGATTTCGAGAAATAGGGCCCAGAGTGACAAACATATAAAATGTCATTTAGCAACATTAATTATTGTATAAAAACCTAAAAAGTTGATTTACATTTATCCAGCTTCAAAGAGCTCGAAAAATCTCTTACATCAGAAATATTGCTTGAACAGCTAAAACTAAGACCTCCTTTAAGTTTTTATACAATTTATTCTGGGAAGATTGTGCGAATTTTACTTTTGTAAATGAAACAGTGTTAGTCAGGCTTGTTTTAAACATATTATCAATTTAACAATAATTCCACTTTGCATGAACAGCGTATCCAGGGGAGGCTACCGTCCTAGGAAAGCACTGCAGTCGATGGTGATTTCCTGTGTGTGTGTGGGGGGGGGGGGGGCGCTACCGTCCTAGGAAAGCACTGCAGTCGATGGTGATTTCCTGTGAAGTTGAACTGGACAAATATATACATAATAATTCCAAGGTTGTGGACACTCTAGATGTCACAGTTTTTATCAGGTTTTGATGAAACTTACAAAGTATGTTTATAACCGTAACTTCTTTGATTATGGCCCCTGATTGTACGAAAATTCACATTTTTAGCTTGTGGGCACCCTAGGGGTAACAATTTTTATTGATTGTAAAAACCGTTCAAATATATCACACTTACATCATTACGACTGAGTACAAATTCAAAGTTTAAATGGACTCTCCCTTTTACGCAAATATTGTAAAAGCACATAATACCCAGGGCGATCATCGGATGTAAATTGTGGTTGCGACTACAGTCTGAACCAGCACCCGAACGCAAATGGCCGGGACAATTGGTCCATGTCAGTTGTTTCGCCTGCTATATTTTCTGCTATTTACTCATTTTGTAAAACTATATTTTTGACGATGGGGATGAAGAAATGCTTTTAAAACATTTTCTTTTAACGCTGACTCCATCCGGCTTAACTGGTAATATGGATTATTTCACATAGTTTTTTGTCGTGGGCCTATTCGAATAGCAGATCTTTATCTGTCAAATTCATCAAGAAAAATCGAATAAAAATCAAAGTTGTTAATAAACCATACCCCAACCCTCATTCTCTAACTTCCAGGTGTTACCATGGACGATGAAATGCGGTCCATGGTGTAAATAACGCACTGGAAATCGGCAATCAACCTTTTCAGCCATCCTTGAACTATCTTGACCGTGCTCTGTCGCATGGTACGGCTTGGGGGTCACTATTTATTTTCGATTTGCGCTTATCGGGCCGTAAGATTCTGGATTATGGGCCGTGGTTGTACGAAAAACACGTTTTTAACTTGTGGAACCTTCTATGGTTAGCAATTTATATCTTATTTTCAAAATGATTCAAATATATCACCGTTACACCATAATTTTCCTGAAAATCGGACCGAAACTTCACGTCAAATGGCCACCCTCCTTTACGCTAGTAGAATGTTAGAAGATAGGTTGCAGGGCAACGAAACATACGCCCACAGCAGCTAAATCGCCCGAGCGGTCGACAAGGGTTGACGCATATTTATTCTTTTGTAGGCAATTGGGGGCATTTACAAGACAATTTCACACAGATCAGATTATATTTTTTGTCGTTTGAAGGTTCACACGGTTCTACAAGCTGAAACAAGGGCCTTAACCCTGGAAGTAATTTACAGAAAATTTTGAAATTTGATAGGTTTTTTCATTTTACTAATTTAAATAATGCATATAAATGTCATACAGATCGGATGATAACTTTTGTCATTCGAACGTTCACAGGGTTCACAAAGTAAAACAAGGGCCATAACTCTAGAAATAATTGACGGAAATTGCTGAAATTCAATAGACCCCCGTTTCACAAATTTAAATGATGCATATAAATTTCATACATATCGGATGATAACTTTCATCAATCGAGCATTAACAAGGTTGAACAAAGTGAAACAAGGGCCAGAACTCTAGAAGTAATTATTGTAAATTACTTAAATTAAATGGGCTTCGTGGTTTCACTTATTTAAATAATGCATATAAATTTCACAAAGATCGGGTTATAACTTTCGGTTTGTGGTTTTACTAATCTAAATGATGCATATATATAAATGTCATACAGAACAGATGATAACTTTTGGCGTTAGAGCGTTCACAAGGTTCAACAAATTGCTGAAATTCAATAGGATTCTTCTTTGTACTAATTTTACGCATATAAATTTCACACAGATCGGCAGATAACTTTTGATGTTAGAACGTTCACAAGGTGCAATAAAGTGAAACAAGGGCCATAACTCTAGAAGTAATAAACGGAAATTGCTGAAATTCAATTGGCTTCTTCGTTTCACTAATTTAAATAATGCATATAAATTTCACAAGGTCCAACAAAGTGAAACAAGGGCCATAACTCTAGACGTAATAAACGGAAATTATTGAAATTAAATAGGATTCTTTTTCTCACTAATTTCAATAACATATATCAATTTGGCGTTAGAGCGTTCACAACAAATTGTGGAAGACGGACGGACGGGGGCGATGGCAATATACGTCCACATTTCCATGTGGGCGTATAAAAAACTCTATCCCGTTTTGTTTTAATTAGCCAATCTGTCATAGATTGAACGTAAATGAGATGGAATGAAATATTCGACTGTTCAGTAAAGTTAACTAATCGCGACCCTCGCAACTGGGAGGCTCTTAACCCAGGGATCAGTATAGAGCATAGAAGTTTTTTTCTCCTGAAAGTCTACATTTACTTCTAGAAGGATAACTCTTGTTTGTCATGTTTGGCGTCACTTCCCGTTTCTTTACGTGCTTGTTACACATCTCCCGTAGCATTGATCTCTGTGTTAAAATTATATTTGGAATGTATTTAACCAGTTCTATCACATATTTTATAATGACTGACACCAATATTGTCCTTTAAAATTGAAAGCCATGATTATTAAAACATGCATATCATCTGTGAAACATCTAATCTTTCAGAAACACACACGAATAGTAATTTTGATTTTTAAATTCTTTAGCTTTCTTCCTATTGAATACTACCCTCTAGAAGGAGTAAAAGGCATAATGTATGTATGTATGTATGTATGTTAACGATCTGCAAAATTGTCCCAAGCACCCCGTGGCTAAATGGTAAAACGTTTGTTATCATTGTAAATACTCGTACATCAGCGATTCTTGTAAAATGCTTACTCAGCTAATATCACACGAAAACAAAATTCACCCTATTTAGCGCATGCCATTTACGCATTCCATTCATAAAACACATCTATGTTAATAGAGATCCGAGCTTATTTTTCATTGGGTAACATTTTCATACTACAGTCTTTCTCATTGGAATATGTGATATTTGTTTTCACAGACTTAACCAATAGATGTGTACTGTCTACTGTAGCTTTGCACACCCATTCACCGAAGTCAATCTGTACAGGGAGGAATAAAAATAGTCACATATACTCTTAATGTGAGTAATGCTAAGCCTGATATACCTATGTTGACATACTGGATCCACCAAATACGACGTTTGCATGAACGCAGTATTTAGTAAGGTTTTTTTTGTGTTGGATCTACTAACTTTAGCCACTGTGTAGGTACTGTTTAGTGGGAGAGTTTAATTGTGATAAGTATCCCATATTATACAGACTCAGCATTTTATTTTCGGTGTAGTAGTAACCAGCAGACATTACACTGTGGCCTACATTTAGGTTCAGCAACTACTATATATTCCAGTAAAATGTTGGCATTGAAGATAATTGTGTTTTTGATTATATGCAACGAATCCAAACTGGTGCGTTTAAGGAAAAAACAAATTAAAACCCCCCAATGTGAATATACTCTGGTTGTTCAAGAAATGGATAGTTCGCAATGTCCGGCAGTAAATCCACATGTACAGGCTGATGGTTATACGAGTGAAATGACAGATGGTGTGTCAAAAACCAAATACATTCACAATTTGAATTCAAAAATGAAAGACATGGAAAGTCGTTTATTTGATGAAATGGTAAAAAACCGTGAATTAAATTCAACTTTATCACGCCATGAACATATGCTTAAACTTGCCGAAAGCACACTGGACAATTATAAGACAAACTTTTCAAGAGTGTTTCGGACGATGATGTACATGGAACAAAAATTACAAAGACAGAGAAAGGCTAGCCGAAGTTTGAATGACAAATTATCTAATGTTATATTAGACGTAGTTGAAGTAAACAATCTGTTAACAAGGAAACCAACCTCTAGTCATAGCAAATTTAAAGATAAACAGGTTGTAGTGGAAAGTGTAGCAGACGTAAAAACCTGTCAAGGATATACTGGAGAATCTATGGTTTTCGTCGGTAAGCAAATTAATTATAGTTTCACAGTGGCCAGGTCCATACATAGTACATATATTAGCGTTCTAAATTACCACGACAATAACCTATGACAGGTCACTCAAATCGCCAATTTCTCAGTCTGTTTTCAAGCTTACTTACTTCTTGGCTAATACGACCCACTCTTTTAGTCTTGGGCGTTTGAGGGTGGGGGTAAGGGCATTGAAACAATCTTTATTAATTATCCCGCACCGAACAAAGTTAGAAAGGCATATTGTAATTGGCTTCGCCCGTCCTGTCCCGATTTGGTTTCTGGAAGATATCTCATAAACAGTGCACGACATCGTTATGAAACGTCATGCACAAATTATAGAAGTAACGCCTTTTCCTTTTTATATATTTCTCGGATTTAATAATTTATGCGTTTCAATGGATACAAATTTGACTTACAATTATTATTCCGGGGCACAGCTCACAAACCGTTTATTATTCATGTTATTTTATTGTTATTATTGACACACGTCATAATTGACTTAATTAACCAATCATGTTCCTTTATTGGGGGGTTGGATGGCCGAATGGTTAGCGCGTGCGCGTTGTATTATAACGTCGGCAATTGAGTAATTTGGCGTGGTTTCGACTCCCCGGTTGTACGTGACAAAGAGTAGGTCGCCTGTCCAACCTCGTGGGTTTTCTCCGGTTTCCTTCTACTACTGAAGACCGCTACGCGCAAACAAATTATTGAAATAAAACTGAACCATATGTTAGTCCCGAAATGACCTAGTTTGTGTCGAGTGGGCGTTAATTCCCATTTCTCTCTCTCCCGTTATTTATTTTGTAATTAAATTCATTAACCTTCAACTTAATTCGCTTTTGTCAATTGACGATATATGTTGTATAAAATCATCTCAAAATTTTCCGAGGCCATATGATAGAATGTCCTCAAATGCGGAATCTTGCTTGATTCATTTTACACCTGCAAAACAAATGTAAAGCAAACAAATTTGGTGAAGGTGTGTATTATGCGAATGCCTTGATTGTGTTCGATAATTAGCATTTTCTGCTTAGCGTAAGCAGAGTTAAGGCCAACGCTTTGGAACACAATAATTTTTATGGAATAATCTACCTTTCAGTTTAAGATATTGTACATCTCTATATTATTATTCATTTAAAAAAAAAACCCAACTTAAAACACATTTAACTGAGTCTGTATATACAACTTTTAACATGTCCATAATTTTGGTTTTATGATTATATTGTCACTTTGTAAGGTGTCCCTGAACACATGATGCGAAAGGGTGCACTATAAATATGCTGTAATAATAATAATAATAACTAGAAATGCGATGCAGTGATGACGGGTTTCACAGGTGCTACGTTACCCTTGAACCAACGTCACTTCACATACCAATGGATCCGTTAAACAGATTACCACATGAGCATTGCACACATGTTATAAATTGGACGCAGAATTGGGCAATAAATCCAGAAATATCAGTTCCATTTATATACATTTGTTACTCTAGACACAATGACATCACTTCCGTTATCAACATAATATTTAAATGAGATTACAGAAATAACGACTTCGATTGTCCTTTGCGTTACAGAAAACTGGTTAAAAATTGGAGAGAATTACCACTTTATAAAGCCTTATTACATTGCGAAAAATCTTAAAACGTGATCCTTCCAAAATTGGTTATTTCTTAGTTAGAAACTATTTTTAGATATCTATATGACCGTATTGATTCATTCTATGTGTTCGTTGGAATCAAATATAATTTTAAACGAATAATGAATATAATCCTTACAAGACATAAAACTAGATTTCACAAACTAAAATACTTATTAATTGACATGCTACGTTTGGATACACATACAGGTATCATTTTCAAAAGCAAATAACGATATTTAACATGTTGTTGATGTTAATTAAAGAATTAACGTCCAATACCAAAAAAAAAAAAAAAAAAAAAATTAAACAAAATTGCGGTGCAATATAAAGACAACAATTAGAAACCATTTAGTAGATAAAACAAATAACTATAGTAAATGAACAAGATGAGAGCTGCAATATGTAGATAACAACACTAAGGCAAGAAATCGAAAGGAAGGAAAACATACTTATAACAAAACATTCACTAAATAGGGATTATGTAAATCCACACAAAGCTTATATTTTTGGATTTCTAGGGCTTCCCGGAGAATTATGTTTTTCCATATTGACAAGTTTCTGGCTAGTATTTCTGTAATTTCCCCATTTGATTTCATGCTGCGGGTTTTTATACGCCCACATGGAAATGTGGTCGTATATTGTCGTCACCCCCATCCGTCCGTCGGTCCGGCGTCCACAATTGCTTGTGGACGCTCTAGAGGCTAAAGTTAATATCCGATTGACTTTAAATTTATACACAGTCTTTCAGGTCATGAGACGAAGTAGCCTATTGATTTTCAGCGATTTCCGATAATTACTGCCAGAGTTATGGCCCTTGATCACTTTGAAAAATCTTGTGGACGCTCTAGAGACTAAAGTTAATATCCGATTGACTTTAAATTTATACACAGTGTTAAAGGTCATGAGACGAAGAAGCCTATTGATTTTCAGCGATTTCCGATAATTACTGCCAGAGTTATGGCCCTTGATCACTTTGAAAAATCTTGTGGACGCTGTAGAGGCTAAACTTAATATCCGATTAACTTTAAATTGATACACAGTGTTTGAGGTCATGAGATGAAGAATCATATTGATTTTCAACGATTTCGGATAACTACTGCCAGAGTTATGGCCCTTGATCACTTTGAAAAATCTTGTGACGCTCTAGAGGCTAAAGTTATCATTCGCTTGACTCTGTGTCTTGAGACGAACAAGTATATTGATTTTCAATGAATCTTTATGACTTGAACTGCTAAATCCATGATGTTAAAAGTTTTGTATACTAAACATTAGCATGGGGCAGAACTTTATAAAAAACAAACAAATTCTAATGGTTTTCTGATAATTACTTAATGAGTTGTTACTCTTAATCAGATTTTAATGTATTATAAATGTTTCATTACCGAAAAAAGTAAAAATATGCGACAACTCTTGTTGACTGCCCGGAAGATATAGCTGCTGTGGGCGTATGTTTCGTTGCCTGGCAACCTATCTATGTAGATGTGTTCTGCTGTAGCCGACTTATGTTCTTGTTTTCTAAATGCAGTGTGAAGCTTTTTTGTTCTCCAATATAAGCTTCATTACAGTCACATTTAATATTGTATATTACACCCTTTGGATCTTCTGCCCTCAGCTTTTAACATGGTTTTGAGGATAATCCCTTTACTAAACACTACATCTGCGCAAATTTGCTGTTTTAAAATTCTTTTAATTTGGTGGCTGGCTGGTCCTATAAATGGGATGTTAAAGTATGTGGTTGTATATTGTCGTTTCCGTCTGTCTGCGATTGCTTGTGGACGCTCTAGAGACTAAAGTTAATATCCGATTGTCTAAGGTCATGCGACAAAGAAGCCTATTGATTTTCACCGATTTCCGATAATTACTGCCAGAGTTATGGCGCTTGATCACTTTGAAAAATCTTGTGGACACTCTAGAGGCTAAAGTTAATATCCAATTGACTTTAAATTTATACACAATGTTTAAGGTTATGAGACGGAAAACCCAATTGATTTCCAATAATTACTGCCAGAATTATGACCCTTGATCACTTTGAAAAAAATCTTGTGGATGCTTTAGAGACCATAGTTATAATCTGATTGATTTTATATTTATACACCGTGTTTACGCCTATATATAATCGTTTCGATTGAGTTTCGATATGTACACAGAGTTTAAGGCCTTGATACGAACAAGTTTATTGATTTTCAATGATTTTTGGTAACTTTAACAGCTAAATCCATGGTATTAAATGTTTTGTATACTAAACGTTAGCATCGGCCAAACAAATTCTAATGATGTTCTGATAATTACTTAATGAGTTGTTACTCTTAATCAGATTTTAGTGTATTATAAATGTTTCATTACCAACAAATGTAAAAATATGTTGATTACCGGGACGATTTAGCTGCGGTGGGCGTATGTTTCGTTGCCTGGCAACCTATTTTCTAGTTCTACAGTAAATTTCACTTTTGGCAAAATGACATTACTTCCGGTGACAATGAAAATGGCATAATTCATAGTTGAAATGAAATGAAAATGGCATAATTCATAGCTGAAAAAAAAAAAATTAATCTAAATGGTTAAAATATTGTTTTTGACAAAATGGCGTCACCTCCGGTGTCAATTTTAAATTGCAATCAATTTGTTATAACCACATTTGCTGTATGCATCAAATGGTGTCACGTTTTTGAAAATCAAATAATAATTGACTCTTTTATTGGCAAAATAACCTGAAAAGTGACTGATGCAAAATTGACTATTTTTCAACAACTGCTCATACTACAAACTAATTTTCACATACATTGTCTTCCTATGGATTAATGCTACAAGTTTATGAAAGTAGCGAAGGAATATTTTGAAATATGAAAAGTCTAAATGCATAGTAATTAGCTCATTGTTTTACACCTTTTTCTCCTTTAAATCAAAATGGCGCAAATACAAAACCGAAACTAAAACAACCGAGTCCCACTTTTTTACGCCTGTAGTAGGGGCATTCATCTTGATCTATTAGATTTGTAATAATTAATATTTGCTTGCGAAAAGACTTTCCGACACGTCAAAATTGTAGTTTGATGGCAAATTTATGTCATTTCCGCTGCCGAAAGAAAACTTTATCGGTAATATAAAAGGTTGAGAATTTGCACCATTGAGCATGAACTTTGTTTAATACAAATCTAGCTAGAAATAATTAATATAGAACCCATAAACTGAATTAGACAATGGCGGCCAAAGAAAATTATCGAGACAAAAATTGGTCAGACTTTTGCTCAGATCACATGACCCTTTATTCCTGGGAAAAATGTCACAAAAAAGTCTTCATCAAAAAAAAAGTTTTATGTCAAAATTTAAATGTTCAAAATTTGGCGTCGAA